GTTTGGGCAAGGACACAGGGGCCCCATGATCCCCTATTGCCAGGGGCCCCATGAGTTCTCAGTCCGCCCCTGATTAGGGTGGGCAGATTTGTTAAAGTTCAAGTTCACTAAAAGTAAACTTGTCCTTTAAGGACTTATTCAGACCTGTCTGCTACTTTGTGACGCATTCTTTGAGTTGCGCTAATGACAGCCCATTCATTTGTAATGTGCTGCCAAAGCATTTCAAAGTGAATAATATGTATATAAACCTTTTATAAAAAGCAATACACCACAATTCTCATGTGCATTGCCCGTTACTGTAATTGTGCTTTGCAGTGCCATTCTGAAAGAATGGCACCACAACAAACCACACAAAGTTCTGTGCGTTAATGTGTTGTGATAACGTGGTAAAACAAGAATTTAACCACAACAGAAGAAGAAAAATAATAAATCACACAGTCACTGGCTGCTCAAAAATTCTATGACTGAGCAATAAAAGCTTTCCCTAAGCCTGGATGTGTTCATGCTAATAATTCTCAAGCATTTACCCAAAAAGAGAAGAGGGGGCATGCAGGATGAGAAAAGTAATTTAAAATACTGTCTACTTACCAAAGAAGCTGGGCATCAAAGTCTAAGTAGCCAATTTACAGTAGAACAAAAAAGTCTAGCCCCATTTTTCAAGTATGTTGACCCTTTTGGCAAATACCATAGTGGCCAGATTGCTGGTCCAGGCTGTACTCTCAGTACTGAATAGACAAACATTGATTTTATGACTTGTATTTAGTAGTTTTCATTGTATTTCAATACACTAATTGGTACAATATGTTTATAAATTCCAATGCATCGTGGCCAAATGCCAATGTCTGGCATGTTGTTCTAAACCTGGAAGATTCACTCTGGAGTGCATCACCTTAAGGATTATTATCAGCTGTGAAATTATTTCATGAGTAGAAGACCAGAGGAAATGAAGCTAATTGGTTTGTTCACGAAACATACTGTATCAGAAATAGCAGAAGAGGCAACTATTATTTACACTTCAGATTTTTTAAATTTGAAACAAGGATGTTGCCAAGAAATCTATTTACAGCACATACTATGTTATCATCTACAAATATCTTGAAGATAATAAAACAGGCCAGAGCTCTATACAATGAAAAATATTATTGTTTCATTGGTTCTTTTGAATTGTTAATTGCATATCATAGAAAATAAATAAGCGGTTGCATTAGTGCCCTGATCTCAATGCCTTTGAAAATATAAATAACGGATTTCCATTTTTCCATTTTCCAGTGTTTTGCCCATGCAACAAATGTGCTTTAAAATTGAACTCCAGCACACACTATGCTATCAACAAATATAAAAGACACACATTTATGCAGCTCTGTATTTGTTGATAACACAATTAATGTATTTTTAAATGAAATTAATAAAAGTACCTGTGTAGTAGTAGGGGCAGTACTTCAAAAAGACATCAAGACTTATGACCTCTGCAAGGTGCAGGCCACTTTTACTACCACCAGCTTTAACTGAAGGGATTAAAATAATCACCCCCTTGGGCTTCTGAACTTACTACAGACCACTCCATAGGAGCCAAGTCTATCAGGCACTTTATAAAAAATGGCATAATGTTACTAGTTCACTCTAAAGCAATAGACCACTGTTACAGTGATTTATTGCTGGACGATTATAGCCATCAATTGATCAGTATTAGCCTAGGTTCACACCTAAGTGTTTTCCGTTGCGTTTTGCAGAAACACATAGCAGTCCATATAACTGACTTCCTATGGGACAGCTACATCTCCACGTTTTCCCCCGGTGCGTTTTTTGTAAAGGGTCAGGGACTTTTTTAAATGCAAAACGTTGCATTTTTGGTTCTTTAGACTTCAATGGAGATGTTGCAGAAAAGCATGTAGTGCATTTTTGATGCATTTTTTTATGCATTTTGCGTTTTAATCTGCCTGGCAACAAGTTGGAAGAAAAAAACACAAAACACGGCAAAAACAAATGTGCAAAAATGCAAAACGGACTGCAAAGAGCACTACAGGAAACCGATCAAACGCAAACTGCATAGGTGTGAACCTAGCCTTAGAAGTGATCTGCTGCAGAGTTGCATTGGTGGATGTTGGATCGGGTCTCCACTGACCTGACCAGGACTCCCATGAAGAATAAAAGGTTGAAAAGTTATTTATGCACATAGGTATGTGTATTTTTATATATATATATATATATATATATATATATATATATATATCACAAAAAAAAATAAAAAAGTAAAATGTAAATTACAAATTAATTTTGGGAGAACACAGAATCTATGGATCAAATATAGCTTCCAATAAGGAGGATATAACCTTAACCTCTATAGTAGTCTCATTTAGATCAGTTGGGGTAAATCTGTATACTTAATAATGCATAATAACTATTTTCCTTATTTTAGCTATATAAACAACACAGTAAGTTGATAATAACTTTGCAACTTTATATATGTAATGCTAGTTTATGAGAAAAATGTCCGACAGTCTCTGTAACTGCAGATATTTATCATATCAAAATACAGTGATGATCATTTGCAGGTAATCACTCCATGGGCAATTATATGCAAGTGGCCGTGAGTAGCCATGGGAGATATCAGCCTCCAATTGCTTTCAATGCGGCATGTTGGCTACACTTTGGATTGTCCCCCTGACTTATACTGGAATAAAGTTGTATCCAGAGGCGTCCCTAGGGTTGGTGTCACCCGGTGCAGTAACACATGGTAACACCCCTTCCAACGATCCCTGCAAAATGGATCGGATCTGCGGATTGAGCATAATGGATCGGATTCCGATCCATTATTCTCAATCCGCAGATCTGATCCATCCTGCGGGGATCATCGGCTTTCTTTACAACTTACCTTTTCTTGGAGCGGGTCCGGTGTCACCCCGTATACATTGCATGCCGACGATCCCAGCAGGATCGTCGGCATGTAACCTATACGGGGTGATACCGGACCCGCTCCAAGAAAAGGTAAGTTGTAAAGAAAGCCGACGTTCCCCGCAGGATAGATCCGATCCATCCTGCGGGGATCGTTGGCTTGCTTTACAACTTACCTTATTGTGGAGCGGGTCCGGTGTCACCCTGTGCGGTCGGTGTCACCCAGTGACACCCCCCCTGCACCTGCCTCGGGACGCCACTGGTTGTATCTTGATGTTTTACAAATGGTGTGGCGCTTCAATTTACATATTTGTCAACAGCAGGAAATTAGCCCTGCAGCCTCTGCTAGTGGCCATTCATGTAGACAGGAGGCTGGAAGATATCAGCAGTGCTGATATGCAACAAAAGTAATAAATGAAAAATGAAAGTGCATTTTAAATAATAAAAAGGTCAATTGCTTATGATGCACTGGGAGGATTTACTAAAGGCAAATACCATGTGTTCTTGCAAGTACAGTTGCACTTTGTAAGTGCAGTTGAGCTTATTAAATGAGGGGAAGCTTTGCTGACTTCCATCATCCAATTATGTGCAAGCAAAAATGTTAAATTCTTTGTACAGTGGAGCTTCATCTCATTTATTAAGCTCTTGAGCAACTTCACTTGCATAATGCACAGTCTATTTGGCTTTAATAAATCGACCCCACTGTGTTCTAGCAAACAACATATCCTTCATTTAGGTTTTACGTGTACTTTAACATTTCATTTGAATGAAATATTGAATTTTTGTTTCCACCTGAAAGGATCAATGTTTCCTTTGCCAATATGCAGTAAGGTTTGATTTAGAAGTATATTTTGTCATTTGGATGACCTATAATTGTTTTTTTTTTCGTTTAAACTTTGTTCCTTATAATACTATAAACCACATTATGAACTTCTATTATTTTTTAACCCTTTCACTGCATTTTTTTTGCACATATGTTTAAAAAATTATTTCAGACCTGAAGATTACACAAACCCCCCAAACATTATATATTTTCTGAAAATAGACACGCTAGAGAATAGAATAGTGGTAGTTCCAATTTCTATGTCACACGATATTACCGCAAAGGTCTAGGAAACGTAAAATGTCAGTAAAAGCAAGAGATATGTAACCAGCACACCAGGGAACTGCATATAAGGGTCCAGCGCAGTGGCAACACTATCAGGGTATCAAAGGCCACACTTGCAACTGGGCTCTGGCATTCTGCCACTGTGGGGGTTCCCAGTCTCCTCTTGCTGTCCTGCCCCTGCTGTTGACAATGCTGGTCCAGTGTTTCTGTCTGCATAGCAGATGAAGCAGCACATTAGGACCCAGTGCTGATCAGCGACTTATAACGGGACTGCAGGACTGCAGCAGGCATTCTGTCACTGGGTGGGAAAGGACTAACTGTCACTGACATCCCCAATGACACTCTGCTATGTAGAGAGATACAAAGCAGCATGTCCATGCTGACAGCAGAGAGACCTGTGTTGTTTACGCACAGGTCCCTCCCCTGTCAGTTTTGCTGATGATCACAGAGTGCTGGGTGGGAATCACCAGCCAGGACCCGGTGATTGACATCCTCAGCTGCCAATAGTGGCGTGGGCAGGGTGGCGTGCACGTGCGCCCCCTACCAGGGAATGAAAATCATGTATGTATATATATGTGTGATTTCGAGTAGCTGTGTGGCCCTGAAGCAGTACTTCTGCTTTGGGGCAGATGGCAAGTGGTTAAACAAGCTGGCATTGCCATATAAGTTAAAAACCTATGTTGTACAGTTGTTTTAAACAGAACAGTCCAAAATCACTCTTCAGCAGATTGGGGTTGATTTACTAGAGGTAACTAGACTGTGCACTCTGCAAAGTATAGTGCCTCTAGAGCTTAGTAAATAAGTGGAAGCTCTGCTGACTTCCATTATCCAATTATGTGCATGGGTTTTTTTTTTTTTTAACCTCCCTGGAGGTATTCCCGAGTGTAGCCCGGGGTAAAGTTTCAGTACCACAAGCGGTAACCCCCGAGCTACACTCGGGCTTACCATACGGCTCTGCTCCATGATCCCTCGATCACTTACCTTGTCCTGCGCTCCCGCGATGTCCCTCCTGCAGTCTCCCCGGCAATGTAATCCGGCGGATGCCGGCATCTGTCATCTGGGTTCTGTCCCCTGCGAGCGTCGGGACGTATGGGGGACGGAACGGTGGGAAATTTAAAAATGACAAAAAGTGACATTCACTAAAATCACATAGTAAAACATTCCTGTATCAAACCATTTCACATACATTTTGTCCCGAGTGCTTTGTCCTGTGCCCTGCCTGCATTTTTTAGTGTTCTTTCTGCCTGGAAACTGAGAAACGTCCATGGCATCCAAAAAGCATCCCTTTAGGTCAAAATCGGTTTTAGACGAGCTAGAGAACAGCGATAGTAAATCAGAACTGCTTGCAGAATTGAGTGATAATGATTCATGGGGAAATTCGTCATCAGACACTGAAAACGATTTTGCGACTTTGCTCAGTGATGTGCAAACTTGGCGCTATATTTCACATTTCAGTGTTTTTGGTTTGATTATATTATTGAATTAAATTTAATATTATTATTTTTTATGATTATTTATTAACCTCCCTAGCGGTATGATTATTTCCGATTTTTGGTGCTGAAAGCGGTACCAGTATTCTGCATGGAAATATGTAGTTTTTTTATTATAGGCTGTAATTTTTAGGAATAACTCACTGAAATCTGTCCGAACAAGAGTCTAGTAAACATCCCGGGTATGATAAAATTTGAAACACAAAATCATAAATTATAATTTAATAAATAAATCATCAAAAAAATAATAATATAATAATATTACATTTAATTCAATAATATAATCAAACCAAAAACACTGAAATTTGAAATATAGCGCCAAGTTCAAACATTGCTGAGCAAAGTCGCAAAATCATTCAAAATGCAGACAGGGGACAGGACAACGCACTAGGGACAAAGTGTATGTGAAATGGGTTGAAACAGCAATGTTTTGAAAAAAATTACATTTTTTTTTAAATTTTCAAATTTCCTGCCGCCGGCGGCGCCCGTACGTCCCGACGTCACAGGGACCGGAACACAGGAGCCGGATGCCGGCATCTGCCGGAAGAGATAGCCGGGGACGCTGCAGGGGACACACTGCGGGAGCGAAGGACAAGGTAAGTGCTGCAGGGACTCCCTATGCAGCGCTGCATGGTAAGCCCGAGTGTAGCTCGGGGTTACCGCTTTTGGTACAGAAACTTTACCCCGAGCTACACTCGGGAATACCGTTAGGGAGCTTAAATTATAATTTATGATTTCGTGTTTCAAGTTTTATCCTACCCAGGATGTTTACTAGACTCTTGTTCGGACAGATTTCAGTGAGTTATTCCTAAAAATTACAGGTCTACAATAAAAAAATACATATTTCCATGCAAAAAAAGTACCGCTTTGAGCACAGAAATATGGACATAATCAGACCGCTAGGGAGGTTAAGTGTGATTGGGCATTCTTTGCAAAGTGAGGCTTCACGCCATTGGCTAAGCTCAAATTCCCTTGCAGAGTGCAACTTCCATTGCAAAGTTTAGTGTAGTTGCCTTTAGTAGCTGAAACCCATTATTTTTTATTAATTTGTAGCTATTTGCTTTTAATAATAATGCAGTAATGAATTTAAAACATTAGGAATTAATAGATCAATTTTCCTATACAAACCCCAAGATGTATGTTTTCTCCTTAGCCAGTCAGATCCAGATCATCTCTCTTGAGATAAAATCTATTATTAGTCTAATGAACAATGCATACAGGTGTTTCAATTAGTAATAGTGCACTGTGCAGAGGTCAGTCGTTAAATATAGTGTTCTATTTCACCAAGAAAATTAACTCTATTTAGCTTATGATAAGACATGCAGAAAGTGATGATAATGTAACCTATCTGCTACTAGTCCTACTACATGACCTTATGTCTGTCGTTCAGCCCATTGATGTTGTAGAAAAAATGTGCAATTCAAACTAAAATTCCTCTGTTATAGTTATTGGAGAAGGTCATCTTTGGTAAAGCAAACCTACGTTTAGGACTGATTATAAATATAAATTACCCTGAAAAATTACTTAACTAATTGGTATATTTAAATAAGATAATTAGATGCTCCCCACAGTGCCTCCTCCAGATTCTTGATCTTCGAGGCTTGTTCATATATACTTTACATTTTCATCTGCCTTCTTTAAAAAAGATGAAAAAAACATTGTGGGAGTTGGAGCCAAAGTCTTTCTGAATAAAAACAACTATGAAAAACTGAAAACTAAATCAAAAAAGGATAGTTTGAAATCATACGGGACTGAGACTCGTTAGTTTATCCCTGACGATAACACCCTCACCTCTCCAGAACAAGGTGACCTGAAAAGGATGTATTCCAACAGAAGGTTTATCAGAACCTGGTGTAGCCATCCAGTGCGGTTGGCTGCAGATCAGTACATTCTCTGGATGGTGATCTTTCTGTCTCCTCCTACTGATTCTTCTTCAATTGTAGCTGCAGATTGGGCTCCACCTGTTGCTAATGTTTCTGCTGTCTTCTCTTTGCTTGCTACATGCTTTTCAAGTAAGGGACACACTATGAGAAAATCAGACTAACGATCGGCCTATTTTCCACAAAGGTGCAAATCATGATCTAACAGTGGTATAACTTGTATGGAAAGTCTCAAATGACGAAGGCAAACGTTCTTTTTGTGTAGGATTTCTTTGGTCATTGCCACCTTCTTCCACGTCATTCTTTGATTCTGATCATGCACATTTTTTCTATTTGATTATTTCCTTATGATTACTGTACACATTGAGCAAAAATTGGATGTTGTGTTCAATAAAAATTCTCTAGCTTGCACCTTTGGCTTTTTTTTGCCTGAATATTCAGAATCTGCTGTCGAAAGCACTATACTAGGTATCATATAATTGACCAATCTTTCCTGGCATGGAATTTTTCTTCTGATATCCTATAGTGTGTACCCCGTAGCAGGGGCGGACTGACAACTCATGGGGCCCCAGGGCAATAGGGGATCATGGGGCCCCTGTGTCCTTGCCCAAACTCAAAAAAGCCTATGGAAAAAAGGTACCAGGGACATCTCATGGGGCCCCCTACTGACCCTGGGCCCTCGGGCAGTGCCCGAGTTTCCAAATGGTCAGTCCGCCCCTGCCCCATAGTGCACCTGGACAGGGTGCGAACAACCATGCCCTTTTCTTCTGCAGAAATCAGCACTTTTCTTAGGCTGGCCATACATTATACAATTTTCTTGAGATATTTGGTTTAGATTTAGCAAACACCATATAATTGGAGGTCAAACCTAACAACACTTTCAATTATATCCAATTAGGCAGGCTCTTGCACTATATAGTAGAAGGTAAATCTAAAATAAAATTGGGCAGAAATTGAACAGAAAATTGTATAGCGTATGGCCAGCCTTAGTCTCACATCTTTTTTAAGATTAGATCATTCCACACTCTTGTGGCCCATTATAGAATTTCCTAGTTAATGGCTTTCACTCTTGTCTGCTTGTCCTGACTTTTTTGTAAGTCTGTCTGCCTTGACCAGATTTTGCCTTTTGCCTAATGCCATATTTTTTAAAACTTGGCTTTGGTTACAACATTTTGGCCTTTTCCTGGACTAAACCTTTGTATTATTTATTTCAGGTACTTTTATAGCACTGTCAATTTACGCAGCACTTTTACACATATATATTGAACATTCACATCAGTCCCTAACCCACAATCTAAGGTCCCTAACTTACATTCATATACTAGGGCCAATTTAGACAGGATCCAATTAACCTACCAACATGTCTTTGGAGTGTGGGAGGAAACCAGAGCACCCAGAGGAAACCCACACAAGCATAGGGAGAACATGCAAACTCCATGCAGGAGGCACCATGGTCAGGAATCAAACCCATGACCCATTTACTGCAAGGCAGACATGCTAACCACTAAGCCACTGTACCGCCCATGTTCTCAGCTTGTCCTTTGGAAACATCTATGCCTGATTGGTGTTTAATCCTGATAGTTTGACTACTTTCTGTGAATCCAATGTCCCATCCAGTTCTTGTGTTCCTCGACTGTCCATTAGTCATAACCTGCCACAACAGGTTTATTGCCATGCATCCCAGGCTCTATTTTTTGCTGCATAAATTCTGGTAGACACCACCCAAGAACTGGTACATGCATGTAAAAGAAATGATTACTAAAGGCAAATAGGTGGTTTCCTTTGCAAGTGGGAATTTTCCATTAGCTTAGTGAATGAGGTTAAGCTCTGCTGAGTTCTATTATCCAATAGTGTAATAAACAAAAGTACTGGTTTTATTTTTCTTACATATGATTGGGTATTTTTCGGAAAGTGAAGTGTCACCACATTCGCTAAGCTAGGGGAACATTTCCTTGTAAACTGCTTATTTGCCTTTTAGTTAATTATCCTCAAAGTGTTGAAGTAAGCTGTCGGCTTAAGGTGAGGAGAGAATCAGCAGTCTCTTTAACACTGGATACAATGCTCATACCGTACATTTATAGGCTAATCGGCTTCCATGAAAGCTGCCCTTAGTGTGTGTTCTATGTCACTGTGTTACTGTGGTCATTAGATAAACTCATGGAAGCAGGGGGGGATGTTAATGGTTCTATGTACTATATAACACTTACGACTGAACAGCACCATGCAATTTATTGACTTAAATGACTAAGTATACAAGGTTAACAGAAAAACCTGTTAAAAATGTTTTTCCTTGAATTTTTTTTTAATTTTAAGCCAAACCCCTTATCACAGAGCCAATGTAGACTCTGAAGGGATTGCAACAATAATGTTGGGATCCACCTGAATTGATCCATCCAAATGGCTGACTGGCAGCTGACTTAGCCTCTCAGGAAAAAATGTAAGTATAAGAATAACAATGGTAAAATCAAGTCATCAGTAGGTTTTTATTATGGTAATTTTTTATGTTTTGATCTAACTGTATATTTATTGCTGATGTAGTAGTATTCCCATGGGGTCATGCATATATGGAGCACTCTTCTCCTGCTTGATTGGTTCCTAACTGCCTGTTCAGGCGAGTGTGACAACCGTCCAGCCTCCTTATGTGTTGTTGTTTTTTGTGAGTAATTGTTTATCTTCTTGTCACCCCCCCCCTTTTTTTTTTACTTCTCAAGTTCTCCCTCTCTTGTTGGTAACAAACCTTTGTTTTAAAAGTCTATAAATAAACTGTATTTGCATATTTACTCATGCGTGTTTATAATATTCACTTTTTTGATCTTTTAGAAACAAGAAAAAATGATCTGTGTACAAACTTTGTCATAGGGGAATATAAGGTCCTGAGGAAGCAATTCTTTCACTGCAAAATGCGTTGACAGTAAACCCATGATATGAGTGTTTTTGATGTAACAAAAATCTTCCTATCAATAAATATGTGATCTATATGGATTG